AAAAAAAAAAGCAAGACTAGGAAATAATTATTATTTTCCATGATCAACCAATTTCTATCATTTGCACAACTCTTCTTAACCTATCATATTTATGATACTTCCCTCCCCAAAAGAATACTAGGAAATAGAAGGAAAAAAAAAAGGAATAAATTAGCATAATTTTGGATCTTGATTAAATAATTTGATCCACATGAAAAATACAATTTTGCTATGAAACCAACAGTTGACTTCATAATGGAACCAACCTAGTAAACCTACCATATTATCTGATTATTTAAATAACACTAATATAATTTTATTAATATTGTATAATTTACTTGTTGTATATAGAAAGTTGACTCCACTATGAAGGCAACCGTTGGCTTCATAGCAAAACCGTTCAAATAACTCAAGTACTTGAACGAAATACAACATAACAATTTCTGAATACAGCACAGTTTGTTCTCCTCAACTAAAAGACAACAATTTCTCAGAACAATTTGGTCTCCTCAAACATAAATCAGTTTATCTTCCTTGACCATTCGTGCGTAGTAAATAACATATTAAATAATTCCACATAACCTAATTAGTTGTGAGATTAATAGCTTAGATTTGTTTAAATATTAAATAAAGCACAAGCTCAAGACAATAATTAATTATGAGCTCGATACTTTCAAACAACCATATATTCTATTCTTACAGAAAACACATACATATATATTTTCAGGATTATGTAAACATCCAACTATAAAGTTGTTCAAGGGATGGTAGCAGTTCTCGTCAAAGGCGACGTTGAGTTGAATATTTCCTGCCCAAGCTCATTTATCTTGTTTATCAGCAGCAATTGCTCGGTCTCGAGTTGGACCACGTACTCTTCTCGACTCTCCTGGAGGCTCTCGAGTTCGCTCAATACCCTCGAGACCCCTTCGAGATCGTCATCATCCACTTGGGCCCGAAGATTCATCATCATCTGCTTAATCTGGACCAAAAAACCGAACCACAAACAAACATGTCGAAAAACTTTATAAAAATGGCCAACCATTAGTTTTGCAAAATCTGTTTCACACCTGGTTTGAAATTTGGCGGGAAAAGTCCGCTGAGGAGGATGACCGGTCATGAGAAGAATCGAGCCCAGGTTTCTTGTCCGGTTGTGGGAGTTTTCTTGTGATCTGGATGTGGATTTCGCCTCGTTTAACTCCTTGCAAAGGTATCCATTTATCGGCCATCTCGTTTGGAGGTAGCATTTGATACTCAACCACACAGTCACCTATGCTGGACGAGGGCAACAAGGAATTGTGGTCTTTCACGTGCAATGTGAGCTGGCTGCCATCGTCTGGGAATTCGAAGGTCTGATGCCATTTTGGAATTAGTGTTTTGTACATGACCTGTCAGAGACATTATTTATTCATAAGTGTTGTAATGGAAACTAGTACAGTACCCGTGCGATGCACGGAGTTTATCATCTCCGTTCCTTTTAAAAAGCAACTTTCAGTTAAAATTCAAAGTACTTACTAAAGGAAATATCATGTCATTAATAATTAATACTTAGTAAATATAATGAAAATAAAATCTATATATTATTGAACATTGTCTTATATAAAACGTTCATGATTTGATTTTTTGGCACGTCATCGTCGCCACAAATTAGGATTTTTAAACTATTTCTATTTGTGACACGGAAGACAACAACATACAACTGTCTATGACAAATAACTTGTTTCTTAAGAAATAAGCACACATACAAATGATTGTCCATGCTCTTATTTATAGTCATGGCATAAGAAGGAGTTATAGCCGCGATAGCTAGTGAATATCTTATGCCCGACAACGTGAGTGTTGAACTTTGTCACAACCAATCATGTTCCATTACACAAAACCATAAAAGAGACATAGTTACAAAATATCAAGTTAAAAAAGAACGGATTAGCTTAAGAAATAAGATCATGCTTATCAATGTGACATAATGTTTACCAAAATTAATGGAGTTTATCACAATTTAATTTTGTAAGGCTTTTTGGATTGATTGGAAAATAACATTTTTATTTTGATATGCATCATTTATCAAATCTCGAGATTTTTTCAGCAATATTTAGCTCAAAACAATCCGAAAAAATTGTAAAATTTGTTATCAAAAGAAATCCAAAAGATTTTCTGCAATATATTGTGTGTAAATAACTATAAAGTGTGTTACAAAAAAAAAACAATATATTAAAAGATTTGTTATCAAAATCCAAGATTTGTTATCACAATCCGAGATTTGTTATCACAATCAGATCAAATTTGTTAACAAAATTCGAGATTTGTTATCAAAATAAGATCAAACTTGTTACCAAAATCCGAGATTTGTTATTAAAATCCGATCAAATTTGTTACTAAAATCTGATTAAATTGGTCGACATGTGGGGCCCATTGATAATACTTATATTAGTAAGTCAATAATTCATCTTTTTTTTTTTTGAAGATTATGTACCATATCAATGTAACATAATGTTTACCAAAATTCATAGAGTTTGTTAAAATTAATTTAATTTGGTAAGGCTTTTTGGATTGATTGAAAAATAATATTTTTATTTTGATATATATCATTTATCAAATCTCTAGATTTTTTCTGCAATATTTAACTCCAAACAATCCAAAAACATTGTGAAATTGTTTTCAAAAAAATCCCAAAGATTATCGGCAATATATTGTGTGTAAATAACTATAAAGTGTGTTACAGAAAAAAACAATATATTAAAAGATCTGTTATCAAAATCCAAGATTTGCTATTACAATCCGAGATTTATTATCACAATCGAATCAAATTTGTTAACAAAATCCAAGATTTGTTATCAAAATTAGATCAAATTTGTTACCAAAATATGAGATTTGTTATCAAAATCCGATCAAACTTGTTACCCAAATCCGATTAAATTAGTTGACATGTGGAGCCCATTGATAATGCTTATATTAATAAGTCAACAATTAATATTTTATTTTGAAGATTATGTGCAATATCAATGTGACATAATGTTTACCAAAATTAATGGAGTTTGTTACAATTTAATTTGGTAAGACTTTTTGGATTGCTTGTAAAAAATAATATTTTTATTTTGATATGTATCATTTAACAAATCTCGAGATTTTTTCTGCAATATTTAATTCAAAACAACCGAAAAATTTGTGAAATTTGTTACCAATAGAAATTCCAAAAATTGGTAATATATTGTGTGTAAATGACTATAAAGTGTGTTACAGAGAAAACTGATATTTTAAAAGGTTTGCTATCAAAATCTGAGATTTATTATCAAAATTAGATCAAATTTGTTAACAAAATCCAAGATTTATTATCAAAATAAGATCAAATTTGTTACAAAAATTTGTGATTTGTTATCAAAATCCAATCAAGTTTGTTACCAAAAATCGATTAAATTGGTTGACATGTGGGGCACATTGATATTGCTTATATTAGTAAGTCAATAACTAATTTTTTATTTTGAAGATTATATGCCATATCTATGTGACATAATGTTTACTAAAATTAATTAAGTACGTTACAATTTAATTTGGTAAGACTTTTGGATTGATTGA